TTATTAATAGTGTCCTGTACAGTCAGGGGCGGACCCAGCACCCGGCGAGGGGGGGCGGCCGCCCGTGCTGGATCCGCTGGAGCCTTCAATTCCGTCTGGCGCCGCCGGGTCATTGGCTCGTTGCAGCAAACACAGAGAAGGTTGCAGCAAACATACAGAAGATGGGAAGAAGATGGAAGGTGGGCTGTTTTTTTCCCTTAGTTGTGGCCCTTTTTTGGGCTGAGAGTTGGGCCTTTTTTTAAAAATGAGGCCCAATTAAATGAAATAATTTTCATCTAACCCGGCCGAGGCTTCATTCTCTGAAGTCCAAATCCTATGCCTTCACTCCTTCACCGGGCGGATCTTCACTTCTCCTTCTCCCTGCTCTATTGCTGCCTACCGGTAAACGGCTTCTTCTTGATAATCGAGCAGTTATGTTTATTTTGTCCTTCTTGATCTGATCTGGATATTGTTTGTTTTTGGTTTTTGATGATTATGGTGTAACTGGGTATTTTCTATTTGTATGCATTTTCTTAATTGGAGATAGAGTGTTTTTGGATGCTGAAAATAATGGGGATTGGCCGATTGGGGAGTCATGGGCAGATGATATGACAGAATAAAAGTGGAGAGGGCATCGAAAGGTGGAACTGTACAGCCAAGTTTCCTTACATCCCACCTTTTATTTCTCCTCTAAAAACCACTATTTGTGCAATTTGTTCCTTGGAACACCTTTTTCCTCTGCGAAACCTCTTAATCTTTCACAGTTAACAAACTTTGTATAAATTCTTTCAACTTCTCCATCTTTAATTCTCAAATTTTTCTCGCCATACCCTTTCACTACTAGAAAACGTGCCTAAGACCAATATTTGATCTATATTCTTGATATAGAGGGTTTAGTTTAGAGGGGAAGGAGGACTCAATTGAAATGGAAAAAGTATCGGGATTTAGTAGAGTAGACGAGGAGATTGAATTACCTCCAGGATTTCGATTCCAGCCAACAGATGAAGAGCTTATAACTCATTATTTATCTCCTAAGGTAATTGACAGCAGTTTCAGTGCAAAAGCTATTGGAGAAGTGGACTTAAAACAAGGTTGAACCTTGGGATTTGCCAAGTAAGTTCAAAAGATGAAGTGCTTATTTGTTTAGGTTATGTCGTTTTGAACCCCCTAATTTTTTATACGTGCAAGTCAAATTCATTTTATTTTCTATTTCAGTTCTTTTATTTATTTTTATTTTTTTGTGAATACATTTATGAATTTGAAGAAAACAACAAGAATTAAGAAAATTAGCATTTACATGTCTATTGAATATTTTTTAATATTATTTAATTAAATATTTATGAAGAACCCCTCTCCTCGATTGCTGATTGTCGACGGTCAATGGTCATCGTCCGCCCGGGCTGAAATTCAATGCTGGGTCCGCCACTGTGTACAGTCACTCTATGCATATTTG